ATGAGACATCACAAGAACTTCCTGACACAAGACTTCTTAAACCCTTGGAGATCAGTACACAAAATGAGATGTAATATCTTCCTTTATTTGAATAGAATTTAAAGTAAAATGAGATGAAATAGACAAACTGAAGATAATGGTCATTCAAGATTTCCTCTTGCTGCTAGCATTCAATTCTTGTTAGCTGTGGGTCATCAAGAACTCCTGAGTTGCCTGCTTAATATTTAACCTATGTTAAGCCACCTAAGCCTCCCAACTAAATCAAGAGCAATGTGTTATAGTTGTTATATCGTTCTCTCTTTTATACCAAAATCACCAAATTGGTTTTCATGCAAGCAGGTAGAGGATGAGTTAAGTGTTTCCCAAAAAAGAACATGTTTTATAAAGCACCTCTTCTCATTTATTCCTTCAGATGGCAGTAGAAAGTCACATGCTTTTTTCTCAGCTTTTTCATGGCTTTCTTCATATCAGCATTTCTGAGTGTGTAGATGAGGGGGTTCAACATAGGTGTGATCACTGTGTAAAAGACAGACACTATCTTATCCACAGAGAAGCTGCAGAAAGGTCTCAGGTAGATGAAGACACAGGGCACGAAGATCAGGCTGACCACTGTCAGGTGGGAGGCACAGGTAGAGAGGGCTTTGATCTGGCCCTGGCGGAAGCGAGTCCTCAGGGTGAGCAAGATAACAGCGTAAGAGAAGAGCAAGACCAAAAAGCAGACAAGAGATAGCAGACCACTGTTCGACACCATTAGCACCTCTATCACATAGGTGTCCATGCAGGCTAACTTGATGACCTGGGGGACATCACAGTAGAAGTTGTCTAACTTATTGGGGCCACAGAAAGGCAGCTGAATGACCAGTATGACCTGTGTGATAGAGTGGACAAAACCCCCACACCAGCAGGCAATAACCAACTGAAAGCAGAGCTGACGATTCATGACTGTCAGGTAGTGCAAGGGATTACATATGGCCACATACCTATCGTAAGCCATGACTGTCAGCAGAAACATCTCACTGGCTCCCAGAAAGTGCAAGAAGAACATCTGGGACAAGCATCCTGGAAAAGAGATGACCTTTCCCTGGTGGAGGAAATCCCCTAACATCTTGGGAATAGTAACACAACTCAGACATAGGTCAATGAAGGATAGATAACCCAAAAAATAGTACATAGGAGACTGGAACAGGTGAGCATCAGCTTGGACTGTTACTACTATCAAGAGGTTTCCCAGGACAATGCCCATGTAAAGCAACAAAAATATTAAGAAGAGAACTAGCTGCAGCTCCCAGGAGGATGAGAGGCCAAGAAGAACAAATTCTGTCACTGTAGAATCATTTTCTTTTTTCATCAAGTCAAGAGTATCATGTGACCTAGATAAAGAATTAAGTTGAAACAAGAGAGAGATTTAAGTTAGACAAAAGGCAACATGTGCACACATACACACACACACACACACACACACACACTTACATAGTGTGTGGGTTTTGTAGAATCATTCCAAGATGAAAAAACTTAAGCAAGTTTTATATGATAGGAAATAGACCAATTTACATCTCAACCAACTATTCACATAAGGCTTTTAGTTTATATTTACACGACAAGGATAGGAGACAACAATCTGAGCAGGAAGTGATAACAGCATTATTCCATTTTTTAACAGAAAAAAATTACAATTTTCCTTAAGATAAGTGCTCTGGAATGAAGTATCTACATTCAATTCCCAGTACTACCATCAACCAGGGACCTCAGAGGACGTATTAAAACTGAGTTTGATTCTTTATTCTTTCATTTTAATATAAACATAAATAAATGTCCCAAGATAGTTTGGAGAGTCATATATAATTTATTAGTGTCACACACACACAGACACACTCACAATGACTAAGTCCCTCAAAATGAGGAGGGATGTATTTTTTATACATCTTTGTACTCACACCACAATGTTTAGTGCATAATTTATCAAATTGAAAGAGAAAAGCTCTGTATATGAATTAATAGTGTACCAATGTTGATAATTATTGTATATGTACATGTTAGGAAACAAATTATTTAGGAAGGGTTGAAATGAGTTATATTCTTTGACTTGATTATCCCAGGTTACAAGATTGGGAAATTTGTAAAGACTGGGTAAAAAGAAATAAGATCTTTACCTCTAAACTTTAGGATGAGTAGGACAGTGGCTGGCATTTAATCACTGAAGCATGTACAAAGGAAGCTCCCTATGGCCCATTTTGGAGAAAAGGATAATAAGGGAAATCAGGATTGTGCTGCTTTTTGAATTTTCAACAATCATTGGGTCAATTAATAGAAATAAAACATGTTTTATCCATTTTCTGCTACTGTATGGCTATATTCACCACCAACATTGAGTGGGGATACCTTAGATTACAACTTAAAAGATAAAACAACTGACACATTTCTTCAATTGAAGTAACTAAGAATTAGCAAGTGTCTCTCTTCTAGCTTATGGTATTTTTAGTCAATAACTAGATCAAGACAAAATTTTATATGAGACAAAGTTGGGAGTGGGGGCTATCCCCATTAACATACTCCATGTTGCACTTTGTTCTCTCAAATTATTCAGGGAAAAATACCTGTTATTTATACTGCATGCAGGAATTTATAGAGATGTGGAAGAAAATTATAAAGACATGGCAGAAAAAAATCTGAATTAAAAAATAAAATCTTAATTCTGATAAATCTCTCTCTGGTACATGACTCCAAGATAAAAAATGGGAGGGAGGTATGGGGCCCAGGAGCTGTGAATAACCTCTTCACTGTCTAAAGAGCCAGTACACAGGTACACCTAATTCTACTACCTCCTAAGTAATGAAGAGAATCATATTAGTTACTAGAATCATTTGGAAAACAAAACAATGTAAAAAAAAAAAAAAGCCAGGAAAACATTTGCTAACATGTGTACAGCCCTATTCAATCAAGCTCTGATGCCAGAAATATTTCAGTCTTCATTGGCCATACCAAAGATTATAAATTTCCATGTGGAAATGGCATTTTGCTGTTGTTTTTTTTTTCCAGTTCAGTTACCTAAAATGTTTTGACTTAACAAAAGTAAAGCTTTTCTCAAAACCCTGGATCTAATTTCATGTTGGGAAAACTGGTATGAGAAAGAACCAAAGTTATAAAAAAAAAAAAAGATTAAAAAGAGGTTTCTGAAAACCAAGAAGAAAATAAGAGAATGCAGAACCCAATGTATTGTTACAAGTTATGGCTAAAAAATGTGATAATTTCCTAATGTGATGACATAATAAGCAAAGGGTAGCTATCTTTATTGTACACCTGCTTCCACAGAACAGGTAGAGAATGCAAAGCTTGTATTAAAACAGGTAATATTAAAATCAGATGCAGAACAAGAGTTGACTAAATAAAAGTTTATAGTCATAATCCAAATTACCACAAAACATTCTCTATAGTATCTATGATTTACTTCCTATAAGTAAAAGTATTTAATATTGGGGAATTCAGAACAATGAATATTTTTGGATAATCCTAGAAATTAGTGTAGTAGGATTTGACTAGTAGTGATAATGACATCATTAAATTGCATAAGACAAAACTAGGCAAACTTGGGTCTTAGTTACTTAGTGATACTTAAAGTATGAGCTGAATTCTGATTATTCTTGGATTTTCTTACTAACTCAAGAAATATCTTGCCCTGAGAAAATATGAAAACATATTGTCAATATTTATGGAACATTCACTTTCAGTGTTAATAAAATTAACATGTTTGGTAGAAACATTTCCAACATCTACATTTTTGAAGTCTCTGCTTACAAAAAGAAATTGGGCCTTTGGCTATTTTGAAAGAAATGTAAAGAGCTCTATACCCATCAGCAAGAAAGAATGTCCATCCCAGAAAGCCAGCTTCCACTACATCATTCCCAAGCAAAACCCAGCCGGGTATTGGGAAATATTATTTTAAAAGCCTATTCCATTATCACATCACGTGCTGCAGAGCAGGACCTACCAGTGTATCATGCTTCATCCTGGGAATAACCAAAGAGTTTGCAAAAGTCAATGAAAATGTTTTGAAGTTAGCAAAATGAATCAAAGAGAGTGAGGAATTTAAGTCTTTATGGGAAGGCCCCAAACCCCATAGAGAAAAGAAGACAAAATCAAACTTTTTAAATAATCAACGGTTATTTGTGTCAGCCAAACAGCTCTTTTCTAGTTTTCTGTCAGGGAATGAGAAAGGTCAATACAGAAAATACCATATAAAAAAAAGAAAAGAAATAGATTTGCTAATGGGATTTGTGGTTTTGGTTTTTGTGTTTTGTTTTGTTTTGTTGTTTTTTTTTTCAAACAATAGTGTACACTGTATTTTGCTATTTTCTATTTATCTGTCTGTTGAACTAAAATTATTGTCAGCAGAAGAAATTTGACCATAAGAATAGTGGAAAATAATTTTCCAGTTGAAATTGAACTCCTTTTGGAAGTATCTGTTGTGATTTCTAATTTCTTCTGCAACACCAAGAAATGGACACTATTTGTTGAAGGTGATACTTGTGTGTTTCCTACTGAGAAGGCTGTGATCTTTCAGCTGTAGACTTTGACTTTGTTTGAAAGACAACACTTTAAGTTGCAGTTGTGGAAATGAAGATTTAGCAAAAAGCTCCTGAAATAATTCAGGAAATGGAAAATAGAATCTAAGAGGGACAGAGATTAGGCAAGTTTAAGACAACTATTGCCTTGAGTCCAGCGCCTTCTCTTATATAACAATGATTCTATCTTATCCAAGCCTTACAACCACCTTCCAAGATATCGCAAGTCCTAGAATCCCCTGACGTGAGAAGAATTTCACTGTCATGTGAATGCAAGTATAAACTCTGAGAACAGCTTTTCAAATGATCTATTAAACAAGAATGTCAGAGAACATAGAGATAAGAGGTATAAAAAGGGTGTGAGAGACAAAAAGAGGAGCAGCGGAGATGAGCTTTGAATACATATATCTAAGAAACTTACATCATTGCATGTCAGAAGTATGTGGGCTCAAGAAAGGAGTATGTTAGACTGCTATTCATCCCACCAGCCCCTTCTTTATAGTCTCAGGCCAGCAAAATGAGAAATTCAAAGATGACCATCACAGTCTTTGCCCTAATGCTTCCCTATAAGTCAGACCCTAATTGAGGGCTGACTGGACCAATGGAAAGATCTCCTGTCCCATGGGCCCTGGCTCTGTCAGAGTATGTTTATGGTCCTTATGCCACTGCTCAGCCTAATGAGTGCTGGGATCCCCCAGGGTGCTGTTGTTTGAGTTGTCTGAATCTCAATTCTTGCTAGAAAGTGTACCGTGTGCCTTATAGGCAAAAACAATAAGACCTTAGTGCATAACACAGCCCAGCCCTTTTACCTGCTTTGAGTTGACTTATGTGACACTTCTTTTGCTACCAACTTACCAGGCATCAGCCTGTACCTGAGTAAAATGATTTCTCTGGTGGATCTCAATCATACTTCCCATGAGTAGGTTCCAGAGCTAGGCTAGGTTGGAAGAAAAATACCAAGCTATTACTGAAGCAGTAGAACAAAGGCACTTCCTTCAAGGTGTCATTGAGCATTAAGGCAACACCTGAGTTTCTCAGTGCCTCTGCAGGGACTTATCTACCTGGTGCCTATGTAGCCAGGAAACAGAGCTTTTGTCATTTCTAATTGAATATTACCTATAAATTGCTGCTGTCAAAGTTTAGTTTGTGTGTGTATGTGTGTGTGTGTGTTTTTAAGATTTATTTATTTATTCATATAAAAATGGGGTACAGGCCAGAGATGTGGAGGGTGAGCGGATTCACCAGAGACAGAGGGGGAGCAGAACAGGCAGATTGATGAAGTACCCTACTGAGGGAAGCAGCGGGAGGGTCAGGAGAGGTCTGCGCACCATGTGGATCACCTCTGGGGCAGTCCAGGATCGAACTCATGCAGAAGTGGCTTAAGCTTCTTAGTGCTGTGCTTTAATCCGCTGCACCACCAGGGAGGGCCCCAAAGTTTAGTTTTTGAAAGTTATGAAACATAATTCTCAGCCAGATGATGAGCACATCAAAAATGTATTTAATGCTTTCATGAAGAACAGTGGCATAAAGTCAGTTCCAAAGAGAATATTTAAAAATGTGACTTTGTGTAATCAGAATATAAGAAAGAACAGAAATAAAATTTCTAAGTTACCTGAAAACCAGTTACTATCCTAAAGAGCAAGACAATGCTAATTTGGGAGGTTATCATTCCAGCCACACTAATAAGAAAATTAGCACCACTTAGCTGTTTTCTGTTACATCCAACTGTATGGCCTTACAGGTCTTAAATTTCTTAAACAGTAAATTCAGAGTTAATAAAATTACATTC